CCTCTCCTTTTGTTGGAGACCCACTGCTCATCACCAGCCCCCTTCTGACACTGGATCCACCCTGGCCGCCTTCCTTGCTCACCCTCATGCCAGCTAGTGGCCATACTGTTTCTACTTTTAAACTTCCCATTCTAGCCTTGACCACCCTCCATTTTCTCCACTCAGGATGGCCACACTAGTGTCCTGTCTCCTCCTTGCCTCTTACACCATCACCTTCAGCCTCTGCTGATCAACACCACCTTTAGAAGACCAAGATTTTTCCCTCAGGTCACACTGCTCACTGCCCCATACCCCAGCTGTTCCTTCAGGAAGCTGGCTCACCTATACCCCCAATTTTTGTTTATTCACTCATTCATTCAGTGGATTTTTATGAGGCTTACCCTGTGCCTAGTCCTAGTGCTCAGAAGTCAGTGTCTGCTGGGGGAGACATGGGTCACAGTTGGGTGGGGGAGACAACAAAGGAACCAGGCTTGGTCCTGGCCCTCAGGGGTCAGTTTAGTGGAGGAGTCACAGGGACCAGGCCCACTTCTGTCCTTCATGGGCCAGCCTTGTGACAGAGAAGAGAGGGATTCAGACATCCACAGTGAAAGAGTGCGTAGGGTTTGAGGAGCAATGGAGAAGAGAGACACCATCTAAAGCAAGCTACAGATTATAAAAGGGCTTTGACACCAGGTTGAAGAGTGGGGAATCTCTCCTGAGGGACACAACAGGAGGCACAGCAACATCTTGAAGAGCAGAGAGCAAGATCAGTCTCCTCCCTCCTGGAGAACATGCACTCTTCTTGTGGCGTCAGCTCTAGATGTTACTTCTCTGTGCAGCCTTCCTGAGTCTCCCAGTCCCTACCCACCACAGCACAGCCTCTCTGAAGCCCTGGGATCAAAGGGTAGCCTCTGCTGGGCTTGGAGCACACTGGGTGGTATCTGAGCCAGTTTATTCCTTTTAGCCCCTCCCCAACCAGAGGGAATGCTCCATAACCTCCCCAGTCTCATCCTCCTGCCTGTTCTGCCCCTACCTGCTCCCCTAGTTTCACCAGGAATGAGTCACTCTGCAAGCCCTCCAGGGCACAAACCGTTCCTGCTGTCTTCTTTTCAGTCCCACTCTGTAAGGGTTGGGCAGCCCTGAGAACTCAGGAACAAATCAGTCCATGTCTCTGTTCCCTAGCAACTCTCCAAAATGACTGGGGAAGATAATGGGCTATAAACTGGCAGCTTGGAAAGGGTGTTGACATGAACAGGAACCAGAAGACTCAGAGTGCAGTTACTGCTCTGCCTCCTCCCAGATATGGGATCCTGAATGTTCTCTCCCTGAGCCTGTTTCCTCAGCCAAAAAAAACAGAAAACAAAAAACTATACCAGCTCTGGCAGGGCACCAATTTTAAACAGTTGATGATTGAGCACTTTATTACACTGCTCTAGGCCTCAGTTTTCTCATCTGTAGAATGGGGGTGACAATGACAATAGTCCCAGCTAGTCAGAGGCTGTTGTAAAGATTTGACAAGATGAGGGATGTGAAAGGTGTTTCTGTTTTCGTTTTCATTAGGAACTGAGCAGTGTTAGGAGGTGTTGAGAGTCCTGTATCTTGTCAAAATCTAAGGTGTTCCCTTTATTTTATGTGCCCTTTCCCAAGAAAGGAAAAACTGCTGCCCATTAAATGATATGCTGCCCTAGCCAGTTTGGCTCAGTGGTTAGAGCATTGGCCTGTGGACTGAAGAGTACCAGGTTCGATTCCAGCCAAGGGTACGTACCTTGGTCGCAGGTTCGATCCCTGGCCCTGATCAGGAGGCAACCAATCGATGTGTCTCTCACATCGCTGTCTCTCTCTCTCTTTTTCTCTCCACCTCCCCCTCCACTCTCTCTGAAAAGCAATGGAAAAAATATCCTCAGGTGAGGATAAATAAATAAATGATATGCCATCATTTAATTAAACTAATTGAGACTCATCATCACTTCAGAGTTGTTAAAATATGAAGAAAATGTATGTTTTAGAATGGATAAAACAGGCTATGGTTCTCTGTTGAGTGAGGGTAGGGATGTTCTAATGGAAGGTGGAAAGGTGCAAAGGAGAGGAAGGGCAGCTCACCTGAAGGGACTCTCAGTGCAGATGTAGAAGTAGGAAAGTGAATGCCGTGTCAATGGTAGGATAGGGTGGCAATAGGTATGCGGTGTGTGCCCTCAATTATAACACTAAGTAGGGGCTGAGACAGCAACACCATGTAATCATGTAAATTAATATTTCTACAATGAAATTTATGAAATCATACCAAGTAAGATGAACAGACTGTAAATAGGCCCAAATCAGATCCAGTTATGTTTTATAGCCAGACGGGTTACAAAAAATGTGGTTTTCTGAATTTTGGAATGTAATGGCTAACACTGATTGGAGATTTACTCTATACTGAATAGTGTTTAAGTGCTTTACACATGACAACTCATTTAGTTCTTACAAGTATATGAGGTGGGTGCAATTATCATTTCCATTCTACAGATTAGGAAACTGAGACACAAGGAGGTAAAGTGATAGCTGATGAGTGGTGGAGCTGGGATTCAACCTCAGGCAGCCAAGCTCCAGGGTCCACCCTCTGCCCTCCGGCCCATTTTGCCATGCTGCCTCCTCACAGGGGAATGTAAGATGAGTTTGGCTCCAGTAATGTTTGGGGGCCTCTGGTGCCATCAGGAGGTCTCACAGGTCTGAGGGTATTGGAGGGGGGACCTGAAAGTTGCTGAATGTGGCAGGAGGGAGGCTAAGAAATAGCTCAGAGAGAACATATGGAGAATAGGAAGAGTGAAGACAGGGAACAAGTGGGTCCCTGGGAATCCTGATGTTCACAGTGTAGAGGAGTAAGGACACTAAGGAAAAGCAGCCAGAAAGGTACCCAGACAAGGGGACTTTAGGGTGCCTGGGGGCTGCAGATTCTTCCTCTTTGCCTCAGGATCCTCTGTGTTGTAGACAGCCTTTCCTTAAGATCGTCAGTACAGTAGTGAGGCTAGAGACACTACCTGTCCTGGAATTCCTCTAGGATTGCCAGGCTCCTGTGGGGTCAAGACACCTCCTCCTCCAAACCATCAGAGGCTCTGGAGTATGCACACATCCTCCTCCAGAATGGTAACATCCCTCTGAGTTGTTAACATCTCCTCACAACTGTTAGCATCCCTCTGAGGTCTAGACACCTCCTCCAGAGTGTCAGGATGCTGAGCGTGTGGACACTTCCTCTAGGCTGTCAGTCCTCTTGGGTGTAGACCTGATCTCCTTTAGACAGTCAAAATCGCTCTGGGGTGAGGACACTTCTTTTTCTTGACTGTCAGAACAGTGTGGGTGTGGATACTTCCTAAGGCAGACCACCAGGGTCCTCTGGAGTATGGAGAGCTTGCTCTTATCCTCTAGGTCACTCTGGGGTGTGGACACCTCTTCCTGCAGACTGTGAGGACCACTCTGGGGTAATGCCACCTCCTCCTTCTTCCAGACTGTCAGGTCCTTTGATGTGTGGATATTTCCTCCACGACCACCAGGATTATCTGGGGTATGGACATCTCATCCAGACTGTCAGGGTTCTCTGCAGTGTGGACTGCTCTGCCTCTAGATTGTCTCTGCCTCCCAGGGCTACGACCCTCTCTACAGTTTGTCAAAGTAGGAGCCTCTCCTCTTCATCAGTGTCATTACTACAGTGTGGACATCCTCAGGGGTGTGTCCCTTATGCCACTTTCTGTCACTTCCCAATCATAGCAACCCCTAAGAAACCTGTGGAAATACAGAGGAATTTGGGATTGTCACCATGACAGGGCATACTCTGGATTTAAAAGGTCCAGGTCCAGGGATGTTAAACGTTCCTCAATGCATGAGATGGTCCTACATAATCAAGAACTGCCCCACCCCTAAAACCCACTGCCTTCCACCTTTGAATGTAACACTGCAGTTGCAGACACTTGCTAGTTATTCACCCAAATCCCTTGTTTTCTACCTGGGCATATAGCTAAATCATACTTCTCAGCCTCCCCTGCATGGAGTTAAGGCCAGTGATTTGGTTCCAGCCAGTGGATGTGGACAGAAGTGATATATGTGCACTGCATCCAGGCCTGGCCCATTAGAAACCTCCCCTTCTCCCCCTACTCTTGGCCCACTTTACCAGGCAAGGCTGAGGACCAGAGGCAGCTCCAAGGCTCTCAGGCATGGCAAAGGCAAAGAAGGAAAGAGCCTACGTGGCCAGGCCACTGTGTAGAAGGATACTACCCAAACACCTACGCTAGAGTGTTACAGGAACAAACAGACTTCTAATGTGCAAAGCCACTAAGACTTGTGAGTTGTTTGGCACAGCAACTAGCCTGCCTAATATAGCTGGTCTTTCCACAGTGTCCTGCAAGTCTAGAGGAGGAAGCAGCCAACCTCCACAAGGCATGTCTATGTCCTACTCCAGACTGTGTTCCTTTTGTGCAGATTAGTAAAAGGTGCTCTTTTCGGGAAGACACTGCTTAGCAATAAGCTGGACCCTTGTAAAATGAGAAGTACCTTTTCAGGTGATGCAACTCTGTGCAGACCACATGGCCCATTAAAAAAACACTGCCTGGATTTCAGTTCCCACTCTCCTCTTTGCCAGGTACCCTTATGAAATCAACTCAGTCTGAAAGTGTTTCAATATGCTTTTAACTACCAGCTTAGAATACTCTCCCCCGCAAGAATATCCCTAGCAATTGGGTTAAACACCCCACCACCACCTTTTCCACAGGAAAAGCAGGGAAGTTGCAGGCACACTGTGATGAGAGCCGGGCACACACAGTGGGAACACAAGGTGGGAAGAGCTGCACACACACGCATGGTCCTGTCTCCCTACCTCTCCCACGTACTCCATGACGAAGCTGTTCTTGCGGATCTTCTCCAGTGTGCGGACACCCCAGCCACGCCCATCATCCGTGCGGAAGATGCAGAGGTTGTAGCGGATGCCCTTCTGTACCACGCGGTTGGGGCAGTCATAGCCACAGCGGCAACGGGAGTTGCACTCATAGATGGGCAGCCCAGCTCGCAGCCGCACCTGGCCCTGGTCATTGTAGGCAAACTTGTGCAGTGATGCCCCAGGACAGCAGCCTCCAGCAGGTGCCCACAGGCAGTCCTGGCACTCACAGCCCACAGCAACCTGGTTGAGGGTGATACCCTCACCAACACGGTACTCATTGATGTATACAAAGGCCCGCGGGGGGCCATCCAGATCCACCTCATTCTCCACAGTGATACGTCCCAGATGGTTTCGCTTGGCATTGAGCTCCTGCTCCCAGAGCTGGAGTGCCCGCCTCTGCTTGGCCTTCTGTACCAGGTAGCTGGCCAAGCTTGGGTCCAGATGCCGGGGGGGCTTTGACCGATGGTGCCGCCGAAGCAACTCTTGTTCTAAGTCCTTGTGGAACTGCTTGAGAATGCGCACACACTTGAGATTCTGCCGTGGCTCCCAGGTGCTCTCTGACTCTGGGTATCCACGCCATTTTACCAGGTAATACTCCTGTTCCTGTTGGGGGGACCAGGGGGACGGGGCCACCATAAGTGGTGAGACCCTTGGGCCAGCCCTCATGGGACTTCCATTCCAAAACCAATGAATAACACCCAAACTACTCCCCACCCTTTTCTGGAATGACTCCATGCATTGGTTAAAAAGCACAAGCTCTAAAGCCAGGATCACTAGGTTCAAATCCTGCTAAATTACAAATCCTGCTACTCATACGATCTGTCTAAATTCCACGTTTTTAAAAAATAATTTTTACAAGATTTTTCATTGATTTTTTAGAGAAAGAGGAAAGGAGAGGGAAAGAGAGAAACATAGATGTGAGAGCGAGACATCGACTGGCCGCCTCCTGCACACCCCCCACCAGGGATCGAACCCATAACCCAGGCATGCACCCAGACCGGGAATCAAACTAGCAACCTTTCAGCGCACGGGATGATGCCCAACAAACTGAACCACACTGGCTAAGGCTAAATTCCAAATTTTAATCTCCTAAACCCACTCCCTTCTCTGTCTTCCCCATCATCAGTTCCCTCCTGCTAGCTATGCAGGCCCCAACTCTTGGAGTCATCCTTGACTCCTTTCTCTAAAGCACTCCTCACATCCGCCCTCAGCAAATCCTGCTAGCCCCACCTTCAGAATACATCCAGAATCCAACCACTTCGAACCATCATCACTGCCACCACCTTCATCACTCATCTGCACTGCAGAAGTAGCCTCCTCACTGGTCCCCTTGCTTCCACCCTTGCCTCTATAGTCTGTTCTCCAAACAGCAGCCAGAGGGACCTTTTCTTGCTGAAAGGCGGCTATAGGACACAGTTTAACTACACAGATTCTAGTTAGACACCCTAGATACAAATTCTGAGCCTGTCATTCCCTATCTGTGGCCTTGGACAAGTTATTTAATTTTGCTGAGCCTTAGTTTCCTCATCTGTAAATAAGGAAAAAAAGCTAGAAAAAATTTTTTTAGCATTCATTATGTAGCATATACTGTTCTAAGTAGCTTACCTGTATTATTAACTAATTTAATCCTCACAACTCTTTATGAGGTAGATACTACTAAGCATCCCTACTTTACAGATGAGGAAAATAAAGTACAGAGAATTTGCATAAATACCCTAGAGTTACGCGACCAGGATCTGAACCCAAGCATGCTAGCTCTAGTCTGTTCTCGTAACTATCCTGCCATTACCTCCTCTGGCCATGATAACAGTTCTCATTTCAGTATTGTTGGGGGGATTAAATGAGTTTCTGACGGGAAGTGCCTTGTACACTGAAAGTGCTCAATAACCATTAGCTATCCTCATCCCCACTCCTGGGCTCAGCAGCTCAACTGGTTTGTATTCTTAGGGAGGTGGGAGGAGAAACTTATTTGGGGATTCATCGTGGCTCCTGCCTCCCTCAGAAAGTCACTTGGTTTCCCTACCAGTAAGACAGGAACAAGAAGAGGGTCTATTAATCCTACTTTTTTAAGATCAGAGAAGAAAATTCCCTTTGGAATCAAATGCAGACCGTGGGGGCAAGGGGACAGGAAGCCAGCTTCCTTGAGGCACCCCTGCCTGGCCACGGTCACCCCAGACTCACGCGGATCTTCTTATAATCACACAGGTACTCGACTTCAAAGTCATAGAGGTTCCTTTTGGAGATGCCAAGGGCAGGGCATGAGAGCTTGGCCAAGCGGCACAGGTCCTGTAGCTGATTCCAAGAAGATTTGCAATACACACTGCAGCCTAGAACACAAAAACATTACTGGGTATACTGGCAAGTCCAGGACTCAAAGAGCACCCTAAGTCCTCCCTGAAACTTCCCAAGGACTGCCTCAGAGTCAGTGAAATTTAATCCACAGGTCTTCCCAATGGTAAGATCTTTCTACCACAAAAATGTGCCAGTTTCTTCAACCCCAGTGCTCACCATCCAAGGCTACCCCTTAAGCAGCAGACCTCAAAGTGGGATCTTCTGCATGGATTGTCCTAAAGAAATCTATTCCCAGAGCTCCCAACTCCCTCTATATTGTTCCTAAAACTGCCTGCAAAACCAGCCTAGCATTCAGGACCTAATCCTCTCCTCCACACTTGCAAAAAGCGAACAACCCCCCATCTCAGTAGGGAGCACTGCCCCAAGGGCATAGGTGGGATGAGGTTAAAACCTTGAGGGCACCACACAAACTGGAAAGACTGGTCAGCAAGCCCTGATCTGAAATCACTGGGGCCAGATGTGTTACGGAATTGAGTTTTCTATTTTATTTTACAAGTGTAGTTCTAAGTATATCCCATACATTAACATCCCCAATGTGGTCAGGGGCTTCAAGCCATAATCAAACACTTTAATAGTTCTGCAGCAAAAGTCTGAATTTTCACATTAAATAGGAGAAAGATGCAAGATAGAGCCACTGAATGTCCCACCTTATAGTCTAGTTTTGTCACTGAATGGTACCAAACTTAAGTTTTCTGAGCTTTTTAAATTTCGGAATTATGAATAAGATTGTGGACTGGTGTTAAATTACAGGAAGCCTCCTTGAATGATTAGTCTGGGTGCCTTAAACCCACAAGGTGTATTTTTTCACACTGCATTTTGACTTTCTCAGCCTCATCCACATTTCTGTGAAGGGTAAATCTTGCCCAAAGGAATTCAGGAACAGGCAAAACAGTAATAGATTAGTGACAATGATTCTTTAAATATACCTGGGATGTTTCTGGGGCTACCAAAAATTTTCAAGAAACAGATTTTTTTTTAAGGCCTTCTGATTCAAAGATTCAAAGCACATTCTTAATGTGCTTCAGAAGCCATTTTATCAGATCATTTCAGAGAACACTTATTCCAAATGTAGTCAGCCAGTCCTCATCCTATTAATATTTTCTACCTCTCATTTTAAAAATGAAACATTTAAACTCATGATGAAATGCTCTAGATGTCAACCTAAAAATGTCTAAGAGCTTTGCAACATTATGTCGTCTGC